CTCTGAGAGACAATTTGATATCGAGCTGAATGTGGGGAGAGAGCCAGACCTGTCTGGCATGTTTAGCAGGAGCTGCCTGGAGAGTTACAGTCCCCCATCGTATTAGGCTTGGCAAGTGGCTGCTGACGACTTCATAAGAAATCAGATAAGACTATCTCCACCTGAGAGCCAGCGCTGGGACCAAAACTATCAAGTCACAATGAATGATTTTGACAAAACTCAAAAAACAATATGTGCACTTAAAACACTGTTTAAATGGTTGTGGTCCTGCATATTTTAAGCATTTCTGACTGCAAGACTGAGAATTACAGCCCTGCACATGGTCATTTTCATGTTAACTCCATGACTTGAATATTTCGGAGACAGAAGAAATCTTGAGCTGCACCACAAAACTGCAGTGTTCAGTTTTGGAATTACAATAAACTGACCAGCACCAAAAGTTTTGGTTCAAAATCAAAATGGTTTGATGTTCGGAACAAAAAAAAAACTTTGAACACTGAGGGATTACAAATAAGATTTTGTCTAATCCAACTGCTATTTTTCATGACTTATTGGCTTTATAAATAACTTTGATGGCAAACTTAAAGAATAGTTTGTAATCAACACAGTCCATGCTCAGTAATCCAGGTATACAATCCAACAATTTTCAGCCAGGTCATCTGGACAGTTTATTCTTTTGCTGAAATGTTTCACGTTGTGTGTTTCCTTGACTGATGAAGCCTTCTGGATGGAAGGTGAAACCATGAATGAACACCATGATTGGGTCCAACTTACTACGGTAATGAGAAACAAACTCTCGCTCGTTGTATTTTTTCATTTACCCTTCATTTATCCAGGTAGTCTCATTGAACCACGATAACTCATTTTCAAGAGAGACCTGTTTAGGGAGCAAATGGGGGTTAAGGGCCTTGCTCATGGGCCCAGAGTGAGGCGAATGAGGGTGGAGGCAGGTGTGGGTGCTTCACCTACCCCACCCACATTTTTTATGTTGTCTGTACCGGGGCTTGAACGGGCGATCTTCCGATCACAGATCCACCTTCTCTAACCTCTGCACCACCACTCCCCCATATAAGGACTGAACAGCCTGTAGCAACGGTCCCCCAATCCCATACTCACGAAACACCCACCACAGTGTTAAAAAACAACATGAACTTTAGTTGTGATACCAAGTCACAATCTGTAAATGTGTCCCAAAGTTCACTAACTGTAGATGTACAGCAAATATTTACTCTCTGAGAGTTTTATCAAAATCTGTCTGTGGGTCCAGGAATTATTTTGCTAACAGACAAGTCAGACTTATGCCAACATGAAAGTACAAAACTGAAAGTACGACATGCTTTGAGGCTGACGTTCAGCCACATCACATTTTAGTTTATTGTCTGTAAAACTGGCAGATTTAGAACATGTTTTGTTGTTTGCTTTGGTCGTTCAATCCTGACGGTCGGACTGAATCAGGTTGCCTTCAAAATTGACTTTGTAGAAGTGCATCTAATGATCACTTTCTGAGATTCTGATTGATTCTCTGGTTCATGAGGTACTTTGCTAAAACTTCAGTTAACTGAACACAAACTGGTAAAACCACCATTACCTTTAGGTGGAGGGTGATTTTCAGTCGTGGACTGAGAGCGTTGTTGTTTGTGTGTTAGGAAACACGGGGCGTTGACATTTACTGCATTTGTTGCTGGCATCGAAGACGGACATGTTCCTGGTGTCAGGACACTGAAGTCAAAGGACGTCTTGTGCACATTTTAGCTGCGCCACAGGCTTTAATAAAATGGCAGCGTGGCAGGTACTTTGAATGTGAACTGGTTGATCAGGACTTTTTTTTTTGGCACAACATGATGTATGCTGTTTGAATAGCATCAGTTAATATAATGTTTCTAAAACATTAGGCTACAATAATTGTTAGCTTCCACATTTCCGTTATCACCAAAAATGGCCATAACAGTCAATTTTACTGATACTGAGATCAACACTGTATTTTCTGAACTAACAGATTTCACAAGACGTTTGTTTAAAATATTGCCATTATAAGTTGAAGTCAAAGTTATCTGTTAGCAAAATATCTCATGAATTTCACTAAAGTAGCCATCTCTCCTGTTTCCCACACTACTCTCAACCACCTGGAGCAGAAGGACTCCTACGTCCGGATGCTCTTTGTGGACTTCACATCTGCCTTCAACACCATGATCCCCCAGACCCTGATGGACAAACTGTAGGACTAAGCCCCCCCATTTGCAACTGGGTACTAGACTTCTTAACAAACAGAGCACAGTCAGTGAGGATCCACAACTTCTCTTCCTCCAACATAACCCTCAGCACTGGCTCTCCTCAGGGCTGTGTGCTGAGCCCTCTCCTGTTCACTCTGCTCACGTATGATTGTGCAGCTACCCATCCAGGCTGTCACATGGTAAAGTTTGCAGATGATACGGTGGTGGTGGGATGCATCACAAACAACAATGAGTCCAGCTACAGGCAGGAGGTGGAACACCTGGAGAGC